ATTCATTAATAACTTCTTGAACTAGACTATCTTTAGAACCAGTCAAGATGATATCATCAACATATACTTTAAGGATGACACTATCTGAACCAACATGCTTAACAAAGAAACTATGATCAAAATGAGAAACAGTAAAACCAATGGCTGGAAGATGACCTATAAATTTTGCATTCCACCCTTGGTGCTTGTTTTAGCCCATAAAGAGATTTTCTTAATCGACAAACATAATTTGGATATGCAGAATCTTCAAAACCTTGAGGTTGTCTCATAAAAACTTCTTCTTCAAGATCACCATGAAGAAAAGCATTCTTCACCTCAAGTTGTCTAAAAGACCACTTGTTCATGGCTACAATACTCAAAATTAATCTAATTGTTTTGTGCCTCACAACAAGACTAAATGTCTCACTAAAATCAAGACCAAGACTTTGACTGAAACCTTGTCCAACCAGTCAAGCCTTATGTCTTGTTACAGAGCCATCTGAGTTCTTCTTTACTCTATAAACCCATCAGCTTCCAATAATGTTTTTATCCAAAGGCAAAGGAACTAAATCCCATGTGCCTTGTGCATGCAAAGCCTTAATTTCTTCTTCCATAGCCTGTATCCAAATAGAGGACTAACAAGCAACCTTATAAGAGATGGTTTAGAAACTTCATGGAGTTGTGGAAGAGTAGCAAGATAACATTGATAATCCTCAAATTGCTTAGACTTGACAATACCATTCTTAGACCTTGTCTGAATAGGATGAATCATAGTTGGTGAAGAGGAAACTAATGAAGAGGAGTCATTATGAGGCAAAATAACTTCTAACTGTTGAGCATTAAGAACTGGTAAATGCTGTGTAGATTTAGGACTAGAAGTAACTAAAACTGGATCATTACCATATGATGTAGAAGCAAGAGAAGGCACATCAGAGGGGTGTGAAGATGCAATGCTAGAATCTGTACTAGAAGCATAAGGAGACATACTGGGTGAAACTGAAACTACAATTGGGGAAGCCGTGAAAGAAGAAGGATCACATGAAGAAAAAGTGCTAGATTGAATTGAGGACTCTGATTGCTTAAAAGGAAAGATACTCTCATCATGAACCACATGTCTGGAAATAATAAACTTCTGAGTAGTTGTGTTATAGCATATACACCTTTATATCCCTGAGAATATCCCATGAAGACACACTGTACAGTCCGAGGTTGAAGTTTATGTTCAAAGACTCTTAGATGTTGAAGAGGTGGAATCCTATCAAACAGCTTCTGAAAGGGAGACTTATGTCCAAGAGCAACACTAGGCATGAAATTGATTAAGTAAGCAGCATGTGCCACAGCATGATACCAGAATTAACTAGGAAGTTTGGCAGTAACTAAAAGAGTTAATGCAGTTTCTATAACATGCCAATTCTTTCTCTCAGCTAAACCATTTTGTTGAGATGTGTATGGACAAGACGACTTGTGAATTATGCCTTTGGAGTCAAGAAAAGAAGCAAACAGTGTACTATGAAACTCACCACTGCCATCACTTTGAAAATATTGAATCTTGGCACCAAACTGAGTACTAATGAAGGCATAGAACTTAAGAAAGATCTCAAAAACTCCAGATTTATTGAACAGTGGATAAAGCCATAGGAAACCAGTACATTCATCAACATATGAAACATAATAGCGATATCCATCTATGGATTTATTTCGAGAGGGACCCCATACATCACTATGAATCCTCTGAAAAGCTATACGAGACTTAATATGCTCACTAGGAAAAGGCAACTTATGCATTTTGCCTTGTAAACAAGCAGAACACAATTCAGCAGAAACAAACACAACAGAGGCTTGAAGCATTATTTTCACTACTTCATTTGTTGGATGACCTAACCTTTGATGCCAAAGAGAATACTTTATTTGTTGTCCAAGATAGGCAACTGGAGCAGAAGAAAAACGAGAATCATTATGCAAGACAGAAGAAGTAGCTAGAGGAATCTGATAAAGGCCTTGATTACTCTTGCTTGAAGAACAATTTTCTTGGTGAGCTTGTCATGTATGCAAAAACCAGAGGCATCAAAAGTGATAAAACAATTGTTATCGTTACACAATTGATGAACCAATAATAGATTGGCCGTAAGCTTTGGACATTCTGGCACAACATGAGACTTGTATGAACCGGAACCACCATAATTGGAAGAAGGAGAGCCACAAAAACCAGAAGAGCAAAATTGAGAATTCTGATTTCGACCACCATTAAAGCGGCCACGGCCAGAAGAATAGTCGCGTGACACAGAGAAGCCACGAGAAGAATTCACAGGAGGTAAAGGTTGTGAGGGAGTCGTTAGTAAACCTTGACCAGAAGCGACAGAAGATTTCTGAACACCAGAAGATGAATTCGCAGCATACATACCAGAATGATGAACAATTCAAGCCTCAGCAGTTTGCTCTGCGGCTAGAAGTTGAGCTCGAAAATCTTTAAGAGTGATCAGATAATCATGAGCAATCAACACAGTCTTGATAACATCATATTCCGGTGGTAAATCATTCAACGCAGCAATAACAAAATCATCATCGAAAATGATAACAGCAATTGCACGCAATTGGTCACGAATTGGTTTAAGACGAAGCAAGAAACATTCAATATAGTCACCACCTTTTTGACGGGTTTGCATTTCTGTTTTCAGATGATTAATTCTTGCTCGAGAAACGGAGGCATAGCGATCACAAAGATGAAGCCATGTCTCAAGCCGTTTGACTCCCGATTACATTCAATTGCTTCATCAGACAAAGATGCAATAAGAAGGCTCAAGAGTGCCTTATCGGTGGGAAACCAGTCTTTATGGGCCGTAGTGATCTCAGAAGTAGCACCTTATTTTCATTCTTAACATTTAAGTAAATGTCTTTGTCCTTTTACTTTTATTTATTTTTATATTACTCCATTTACTTAAGTTTACAATGTAAATAAGGAAGTACCCCGCATTTGGATTCAAATAAAAATACTAGAAAATCAAATTCCCTCCAAATCAAAATATGAAAAATCGGTTTTAGTGCAAAATACGATTTAGGCTAAAAATGATGGCTCATTAAGTCAATATATACTTCATAATAAAATCCCATAAAATCAAGTTTTCTTATTTGATGTGTAAGGAACAAAAGCCGCCAAAAATTATCTTGAAAAAATGATTATTCCGAAAAATCATTTTTCATACTTAGTCAATATTGCACCTCCGCTAAAAAATTTATGGATCCGCCAGTGCACGTAGGAACCCAAAAATCTTACCCGAAAATATTATCAAAAATAATTATTTAAGTAAAAAAAGTTGTGAAAAAAATAAAAAATGAATAGTAGTTGCCATGGCAAAGGGCAACTGCTGGAAACACACATAGCTTAATATGGCAAGGGCAGCCACTATTCATGTGATTAGTAGCTGCCCTAGCCCCCCCCCTTGCCATGGCAAGGGGCAAACTGCTGGAAGTGCTCTTACAGCATCTCTTAGTCCACTCCCTTGGCCAAAACAACGGGCCCCATCCCTGCCCAATCATCATCATTCCTCTCCAATCCAAAACCCCACCGTGCACTATACTTCTCACTCTCCTCCTTCGTTTCCATACCCCAAAACCCATTCTCCCTTCCCTCACCAAAAAAAGAGTAGTAAACAGAATTTTTTTAATTTTAAAAAAAAAAAAAAAAAACTGGCATATTTTGTGGAAGATTTTAAAATTCTCTTTTAATTTTTTAACAAGGTGGAAACAAAAGTTAGTTTGTCCAATACATTTAACAACGGTAAATTTGGAAAACAAAATATACATTGTTTTAAGTGTAGAGAAAGTGACACATGTCATGAAGAGAAGGGAGAAGGTCCAAAAGAAAAGGTTAAAGAGAAGGTTGCTAGCATTCCTCTTAAGGCGATAATAAATTTTACAGTGGAACCTTATTCTTATACCACAATTTCACCTCACTCGAATAAAAGTTGGACTTTATTCCAATTTTTTTGTTACTACTAGAATGTTTACTTATCCACGTACTGTGTTTGATTCTACTTACTTCGTTATCTCTTATATCAAATAAAAAAATAAAGTTTTTTTTGGTTTAACAACATAGCATCTCAATTATTTAACAAGAAAAACTCTTTCCAAAAGTCATCAAGAGCTTCTTCCTTTTTTTTTTCTTCTGTTTTTTTTTAAATTTTTTTTGAAGTCGAAGTCATCATCAAGAGCTTGACATTGGATGGCGTGCAAGACTTTTCTCCTCAGTGCCTTGTTTACAATGTTTAGGCAAAAGAGGTTCTGCTTCTGATTGAGAAAATGACTCAAAGCTTCCGGTTTGATCATTTTGGGCCTCCTCCTTCTCTTCTTGGGCTTTCCCCCAAATTACGGCATAAAACCCTACCACTGTTATAGCCGCTCCCAGCAACCTGTTGAAGTAAGTTGAAACAGATGAAAAAAAACTCAATAAAACATGGTTTTTTATTTTCTGGGTCTGTGAATAAAACATGGTTAATTAGGTAGCAGGTAGCAGAGTATGTGAAAATTATAACAGATAATCTTTACCTTCCAAGATAAAGAGTATCTCCAAGAAATGCCACGCCAACGAAAAGTGCCAAGACTAAACCAAGCGGCTTGAACATGGCAGCATAAACAGGACCCTTTATATTCAATGCCCACAAATGAATACCAGTCCTTAGCATTACTTCAAAAGTTGCCTAGAAATCAATTAAGCAGCACATAAAGTTTGGTTGAAAATCAAAGGAAACTAAGCCTATAAAGTTGAAACAGATCATCCCTCACATTGTACCCAATAGCTATGAGTTCAATGTCAGGCTTTAGCTTCCATGCATTTAGTCCTTTGACAGCAATCAGAGAAATTGCAGCAGATTGGATGGTAACAAAGATGCACCGAATCGTTGTAACCATCAGCACTGCAGGGTAGTCCCTAATAACCCATATGTCTGCAGATAAAAAAATCAAAAAGGCTTTGAAGTGATGCAATTAAGAGGTGGTTTTAATGTGAGCACAGGATTTTAAATTACCTCTGCAATATGCGTCATTGCTAGCAAAAAGCTTTGAAATGCAAGCACAATGCCTCCAATGAACCAGTTCGTTTGAGAGGATAAAAGAAGCTGCAGATTGATTAATTTATTATGTGATGCATCAGCCCTTATGAGTGGTAGGCCTTTATATAAGGTCAGCATGAGTGCCCCTGTGATTGAGACCACTGTGCCTATGCACTTGGCCTGTCTACTGGTAATTCTCAAATCCAGAATTTCCATCCTAAAAAACCAAAACATATTTTTTATTACAAAAAAAGAAAATATATTCATCAATTTGGGACAGTAACTGTATATTTACCCAGTGATGACAGCAAGAATGAAGGTAAAAGCTGGCATGAGATCAATCATTGCAGAGGCCATAGTTGGAGAGCTATAGTTTATCCCAATAAACTTTAGCAGCTGCGCACCAGAGCTAGAAATCATGTTCAAACAAATTTAAACATGATTAACCAAAATATATGGTAAAATAGATCAGCAGAGATGACTAAGTTTAAACTACCTCATACAGCTAACAAGGAACAGTTTACAGATGAAGGACCATGAGAGAGGTGGATAAGTTCTTCTCCTGCAGAAATAAATAATTAACTACTTCATTAAAACTAAAAATTAAAAGAAGGGATATTGGGTAATTAATTGGATGAGATTAAAACCTGTAGAAGAAGGAAGATGGAAGCAAGACAAAGAAGGCGAGGGCATTCGCATAGACAACAAAGACAAAATCACTCATCCCTTTGTTCATAGCTGCTTTGCTCAAATTGTTCAACCCCACATCCAAAAACTCCACCATCACCATGATCACTGTTACTGATTTTAAACCCAACATTGCTGCTTGCTTCTGTGACCTGCTTCCTCTGTATGCATGCTTGCTTCTCGTTCCCACTTGCTAAATAGATCAATAATTCAATCCTGTTATTGTTATTCATCATTTGTAGAGACGAAAAGTGGTGGGCTAATAATACATAACATACGATAATATTTGACTGTTAGTGGTTTGATTGAATGAGGTTGAGTATACAAGAAATTATGGCATTGACTGTTTACCAATTATATCGGTTGAGTATTAATGGACCACCTATATAGTTGGTAAACAACAATGGTGTGGTTAAATGCTCGACCAATCGCATTCCAACAATGGCTTGGTTTGGAGTTTGTGATGTGATGTTCTGTTTGTGCGGTCACAGATTAAGGTTCGAATGATGTTACCTCATGATCATAATAGTGTTCTTTTTGTTGCTATTAAAATATAAAAACAGAGAAAATTATGAGAGAAAAATAATATATTTTTTGGAGAAATATATGTAAGACATGACTTTCGACCACAAAAGGAGGAATGTAAGGCATGACGATGTTTCTTTCCGTTTTTTTGTGGCTCAGAGAAAGATAGCAGTTGTGTTTGTTGGACCATCTTCACTTCCTCTTGGGCTTTGCCCATGAAAGCATTCGCAACAAGAGGCCTTAGTTTAAATTTAACTTAGACCATGTTTATTTCCTTGGAAGAAAGTTTTTCCCTTTATCGAGAGTGGCCCATGAGACAAGCCCATGAACTTGTTTAATATTTTCCTGCTACCATGAAGGCGGCTGCTGGTCTGTAAATCCAAGCCTTTAGCGATCAGACTCTCAGTATTCCAAGCGTTGTTTCCCAACTTTTGGGTCTTCCCCCTGCAGTAGGAAGGGCTGATTGGAAGGCCACAGAGATACAACAATCAACCCTCAAGGGCAGCTCTCTGCGTCTGCATGGTCCAACTTGGTAAGTGTAAAAATAAAATTCCTAATTTTTTTCAAATTTTATAAGTAAGGAGTATTAAATCTGATTAGTAATCATTCTTTTTGTGTTTAAAATGCCAAATGAAGAGCATTACTGTTCTAGTTTGCAGCATGGGTTGATCATACAGTCCAAAAGCCAACGGGGTCTAAGCCAATGGAAAATGGTCTTGATTTGATGATCAGTGGTCTCAGATTCACATCTCTATGACACCTTGTCAATGTGTGTGTAAGAAAAATCCCCTCCCGCTTTCTAACTTTGGCAAAAAAATTAAAAACAAAAACCAACAACAAGAAGAAGCAGCATGCGAGCACCTTTATGTGTTGAAATTTGAACCTATTTACCATATAGGATGAATGTGAGTCTGGTTGAGCTTATGCAAGTCAGTTGTATGCTTAGGCAGTGGACCAATAGAACATAGTTCTTCCATCTGCTTCAAGGTGGTCCTATAGTTTGGTTTGAATGACAAATCGACAATGACCACTCTGGGGGCTCTTCTCTGCAGCTTAGCTCCTTGGTGGGCTCTGATGGGTTCTCACTGCTTCTTCAGCTGTTTTTTTAAGGTTACAATCTTAATGAATTTGATCTCGGCCCGCCTATTGGAACATGCCAGGTTTCGTATGTAATATTATGTATGTATTTACACGCATTCATGTATGTATGTATGTATGTATGTATGCATGTGTCTCTCCATGTTGCATTTCTATACTGAAGTGGGGGTTGCTGCAGGCATTTGGCAATGATGATATCGTGATGTCAATGCTTACCGGAAATAATTGGAGGGAGGGAGGGAGGGAGCAATTATTTTGGAGAGGAAAAGCCACATGAATTATGCCTCAATTTGACTCTAATGCATAAAACTCCACACACTCTAAAGTTCATATTGTACTGTGCCCATCAGTAAAGTAGGCCGGGAAATCTCCCCTTAGAGCAAATTAGGTTCTGGAGCTTTTGATATTAGTCTAATACAAGATTGCCAAAAAAGCAGTAATTTGTGGACATTGTCCCTGTCTGCCTAGAACTTGGAAAAGAAAATAGACAGGATAAAATGAGAAAGGGACATTTGAGTCGGTGTTCAAATATAGGCAAACCTGGTAAGGACGTGCATCTTTTTGATTCAATAAACTTCTGCCTTTGGTTAAGAAAAAAACTTCAGGAAAATGCACAATAAGAAGATAAATTAACCCTTTTAATTCTTGATCATTCTCAAATATTCTCGGATCAATAAGTCTCTGAAAAAAATTTGGTTCTGATATTTGCAAGCACTAGCAGAGGCACGGAGAAGGACAAGTCAGTGCAAGCCATTGGCTGCTAGTACCAATTACCTTCCCCCTTGTTTCCTTCACTGACAGACGCAAATAAAGGAAGAAAAAAAAAAGCTTCAAAGAGAGAGAGAGAGCAAACGTACAATATGAGGGGCCCTTTGAGGGCTTTGATAGTGGCATATCACTGGATCTCCGTTCCTCCATAATTAAATGTTGTTTTCTCACGAACCAGTACAAAAGCTTTAACCATTATTCAAAAAACAATCAAAATATTGGTGCATGATGAAAGTGATGTCAGGCTACTTCCTTCAATCCAATAGAAAATATGAACATTAACTTTGAAGTGAAGTAAAATCATAAGCGTATTTTCAGATTCATACACGCAAACTATCAATTATTTATAAACGCATACACAAACTCCCAGAAACCCTACATTTCAAACCACTCCGTCAGCCGTAAACCCTATATCATCAAAGTATCAGAAGATTGGGAATTGACTGTTACCTACCCAGGCATATAGTCCAAAGAAACGGGCCATAAGGTGGACAATCTAGAATGGGGATTGTTGGGACCTGGGAGGATGTGGGATCATATTTTAGTTGCTTTGGTCCATGCCCCACACAGTACAAACTTAGCGGCCTAACTGGATAAGAGCATCTGCAAGGCAGGCACCTACCACAAACAAACTCAACATGCAACCATTCTAAAACATGTATCATGTTTTCTTTTTTTCTCTTTGTTGAGTTACATGCATCATGTTTCTTTGTTCATTTGGTAAACTTGTATGCAAATTATGCAGGTAAACATATGTGTCATGTTTATGCTGTAAAGATTGACAATAAAAAAAAGTGGTCAGTAGTACTTTGATAGGAAAAACAAGAATTTAGTCCAATTTGAACACCTCAAGAAAAATCCGTGCTTCTGTTGTTACTGCATAATGTAGGCCAAAAAAATTATATCTTTATGTTCTGCTTCTTTTTCAAAGTAGAGAACATGGAGCATCACTTCACTATGGCCATGTTTTTATGTGTGTCATGCCAACTGTAAAGAGAGCTTCAATAAGTCAAAAATACTATAGCAATATTAATCAAGATGCACAGTAGCAGAGCAGCCTTATTTTTTTATCATGTAATCACTTGGTATATAAAATCTCAACCTGTCTTTGATTTGTTAGATGAATTAATTACCATGAGAATGGATTGGAAGGTTAATTGTGTTTGATTTGATAAGTCTCCAAGTGGGCACAAATGAGGGAGAAAAAGAGAAGGTTTTGGTGATTGAGAAGAAAAGGGATGAGGAGGCAGCTTCTGTGTGATTTGATCAAGTCCCTATCTCTCCATGTATGTCCCACATATCTTAGTCATGTTGTCCTCAACTGCAGAGCTTTAGATGCCAATTCCATCTCTCTATGATTGTTAGTCCCTTTCATCCTTCTGTTAGCCAAAGAAGCTAGCATCATCCCTTCAAACCCCACTCAATTGAGTGCAATCATGTCGATCCATGCATGTATCTCACTTAACCTTTGTTAACACTTTGTCTATATATGTATAACAACAGGACTAATTTATCATTAATTGATCATATCCAATGATTAGCATAATCTAATTGTCCCCCTAATTCCTTCTCCTAAAAGTACACAAGATTCTGCATGCATGTTTCCATCAACCAAAGCCCTATATTTATAATGTCAACTTATTAAGCGGGTAATATTGACAAAAGTTGCCTATTAGTCAATTAATTAATGCATATGAGATGACATGTTTTGCAAAGTGGATAATGAAACTAATCAATTAGGCCCTCAAGGATGAGAGAAACTCTCATACAACAGGTATAACACTTTTTGCTATCTCAAGTCAATACACTAACAAGTGGGATAACTTTTCAACGTGTCATTGTGTTATTAGCCGGAATAGTACCATTTAGAAGAAGAAAAATTTCCTTAAGAACATCACAATGTCACATTGCTTACAGCTTATAAGTGGACCAGTATATATATATATATATTATATTATATTAGTTGTGTCTTGGTTGTCCAATGGCACTTTAATTTTGATGCTGATGGATGATCATGGTGATAGCGAAAGGGATGGTGATGATTATGAAGGAGCGTTGGAGAAAAAATCTTTTCAAGTCCCCTCAAAGATTGAATTATAAATTATGTGTAGAACATCTGTATCTCACAATAACGGTAGGTGGATCCGCATATGGATCGTCCACTAGATTGACCAAGCTTCAGACTTCAAAGAGAGTGTGATGATAAATCATTTTCCATTCTTTCAAGTACAAAAGCAAACAATGGGTATCTTTCTCTGACTTCCACAGCAGCACCAATGATCATGTTTGCATGTCTTCATTTTCCTATTTTTTTCCCCCTCAAAGAACTAATTATATTCAACCCTTTGTGAAGATATACAAGAACAAGAACTTGTACCATTATATTTCTTTTTTTTCCACCAGAAATTTTACCTTCTTATCAGAACAGAGGCACATGCCTAATGCAATATCTAATGTATATTCTACTGTCTCTACACCTTTGATTATTTGGTCCCTTCCCTTGTGATGGACGGTCCAGAAAGAAAGAGCATCTTCCATCTTTTGATTGCAGGTTTCAGTTTACGACCACTTTTTGGTACTATATATGGGATGGCTTTTTGCAACACTGATGACATGTAAAAGTTGGGTGTGGTGTGTGTGTGGGAGCCAAGAATATTTTGTCTTTGAAAGACAGGCTTAATTTTACAGCAATGAAAAGGTTACAAAAGCTACCCAGAAAGGGATATCTTTCTTTAATCTCTTCCCTTTTCCTTTTCGTTATGGATTTGTACACACAGCTTTTTTGCTAGCCCAAAATTGTCACCGGCAATGCCTTCACGTGATTGCCTTGGAGTTTTTCTATATTAGGGTAAAGAATTCCCAGTATTTTCATGCATTTGACCAACTTCTGTCACACCCTAAAAACCCCTCCACCCTGGACATTTTTGAGGTTTTTCCCCTCAGG